AACAGCTCGGCTGAGTTCACCCTTGTTGAGAAATTCATCCAGCTTGTTACCTTCTCCGACTATAAAACCTTTTAACTTGATTGCAACTTCGTCTGGTGATGAAGAACATGGATCAAGGCCAGATGATGGCTTTACCTGCAAAGGATAAGTGAGACATATCGTAATATTTTCTAAACTGAAATACCGTTCTGGCGTTTCCAGTTAGAATTTTAAGTCATTGTTGGATCCAAGCGACGATGAGATAGAATTGGATAATATCGGAGATTATGCTATAAGAAATAGTAAAAGGTTAGCGAGCACACAGAAAAGATTATACCATTTTGAAACAGCTTCTAAACAGCGTTTATAAATCAAATAGGAAGATTCAAAAATTCTGAGCCGCGTAAATAGTTGTTTCATTAAAAAACTCTTTTGTATATAAACAATTGCAGTACCCGGATAAGCAATTTCTCTACAAGGGATACTCCAACCGCATTCTTAATGACAATAGTGACTTGTTGGTGGAAATCTTCGTTCGGCGATCCTGCAGGTAACACTGTCGACACAGACGAGGGTGACGTGCCATAAGATATAGGTTCCTCTCCAAGTGCAAATTCATATTTCAGTGGTAGGCTTGTATCCTGCCAATCGAAGCACTTAAAAGTAAACTCAGTCTCCAGTGAGACGCCTTCAGAGACCGACGGCGCGCAGTAACCATTATGCGGCTCTCCAGCGGTTTCAAAGAGGAGCACAGAAAGCCCGAATGCTCCTGTTAAGGATATTACCGATAATGTTAGATTATACTTCGATTTGGATTGTAATGAATTTTTCTTTATTATCATATTGGTAGCATTTACAGCAGTTGAAGTCATGTTGGGTAAAATAGGTATATTTTCCCAACTGTCTGAACCGTTTAGCATGGACAGACGCCATTCGTAGACAGACCCATTGCAAGGAGAATTAAGACACTCTGATGTCACCCGGAGCTTGTTTGAAGCGGACACTATTGCGCCACAATCTATGAAGCATCTGTGGAAAAAAATATAAAAGAATGAACAACATGTGAAAAGCTGCAGAATCAAATGCAAGCAAATAGGGCTTAATTGACAAATGAATAAAGGGATAAGTTTCTAAAGAA